GAACTGTTTCGTGTTAAGGTGTGACTTTTTAAATTAAAACTAAAAAGTCCTTGGTTGAAACACCTGATTAGAATTTATCAATAGCTTCAAAAATCTTTTGCCTAATTCCATATCCAAAGGTGGTACTCACATTAAATTCAAACTCCCACTCGGTAGCTTCAATGTCAGCTTCGCTGTTGGGGTCCAAAGGTTCGTTGTAGGTAGAGTCAATAACCAAACTGATTTTACCTAAATAACGCAAAAAGCCCCTTAAACCTCAGCTGATTCTTTACCAAAATTGCTCTATTTACCTCCTTGGGATGCGAATTCGTCATGGTAGATGTGGTAAGCGGTGGCATGGGCTAGAAGCTGAACTCTGGCGCATTGGTAGATACCCTCTGCAATATCAGACAGTCCAGGAGCCATTTGCTATAGATTAAGCACGGGTAAAAAACACCAAAACGAAAATCTTCCACTACTCACTCCTTGGCCGTATCCAAGAGTACAGGTAGTTTTGGGTTCGTTAATCGTTGCCCACAGTTTAACGTAGGGGCCAAACTTTTCGAAAGCGACTCTAGCGTATTCTCCGAAACGTTCAGCAGTTGAATCGTTGAGCCATCCGCCTTGTTCGTTGAGAGTTTGAGGCAGGTCCCAATGGTAAAGAGTTACCAAAGGAGTAATATCAGCTTCAAGTAGAGCCTATGAAATTATTAGCATTAGAAATGATCATCTATTGAAACGACTACGAACTCACCTTGATGAACTCAAGGTAATGATCAACACCAGCCTGATTGTAGCTGTCGGGGTAACCAGTGGGGTGAATTCGGGGCCATGAAATGGAAAATCTGCAAAATAGGATACGCTGCAGCTGGCTGGTATTTTTTTTAAATTTTATAACCAACCTACCTGTACAACTTTACTCCCAGTTCCTTCAACAGCTCGATGTCTTCGCGCCATTTGTGGTACGAGTCGCAAGCAACGTCTCCATTTTTCTGGTCATCAACTCTGCCTGTAACGATAAGGAAGATTGCATTGATTGCCGTTAAATTGTTATTTGGCAGGAACTTACTTGGGTCGTCGTGTACCCAGTGGTCCCACATACTCTCCCCTTTTCCATCCTCATCCCACGCTCCCTCCACTTGGTAAGCAGCGGTGGCCGTTCCCCATAGGAAAGATGAGGGGAATTTTCGGTTACTGATTTCTTCGGCAGCCAAGCATCTAAAAATTTGAATTTGAAAAATACCTTTAGACTTTGAATCGATATGACACTTTTCCATTTTTAGCTTTGCTTGACTTTCATTTGCGTCCGATTGTTATACAGTATTTTTCTGTTGGGCTAAAAACTTCATTATTGAAAATGTATCTATTCTGGAATTTTGTGATTTTTTTTGTGGGCTCCAAACTGAAGCTTTTTGAAACTATGAAAGTTTGAGCAATTATTATGGCGCAAATACAAACATTAGTTCAAAAATGCAGGCTGTTTAAACTATAGACATCAGAAGTTCTGTAAAAAAAATAAGATCTTCTTGAAATCAAAGTTATGAGTCACATTAAAATTTCTTAAAGTGTGCGTATCCTCCC